TATTGCAACTAAATGGGATAGAATGCTTATCCGCTAAGAAAAAATGTGCGTGCACTACAATGAAAACTGATTTCCCCAATATATTACAGCATCCACATGAAAAAAAATATGTTATTTTGTTTTAAAAGCTCATGTGACCATTAACATTGGTGGATTGGGACTTTAACTGACAAACTGCGGAACAAACGCATTGTAAAACATTGCAAATGTTGTTTTGGTCATTCTAAAATCCCTTAGTCAAGGTCTGTGCTCAACAAAACAGTTTGATAGTAATACTTTCAGAACTGTCTAGAGCCGCTGAACTCGTATCACGTATCTCCAATATCTACCTATTTTCTTACATGATTTACATCTTTAAATGTAAACTTGGCTAATAAGAATAGATCTTCATCATCTACTTAAAATCCAATTAAGCAGTTTAGATCTACTCCAAACCAAACCCATCTAAACAAGCCATTGTAAATATTGTAATGAGATCATATTTTCCCATAAATCCGTTTAAAAACACTATACATTAACTACAGTGAATTGGAATGGAAAGTCTTTTTCAGGACATATATCCTACACAAGCTCATGGGTGTGACATATACATATCAAACAATGATTCATCCATGCAATACAACAGGCCCTTTAACTCAGCTGTTATAAAAGCACAATCGACAATGTGACAAGTCACATGACAGCCAGAGATTTGTGATGGTAATTATGAGGTGGTGACTCAACTTCAAGGCAACTAAAGTCATATCAACTTCTCCATGAACCCTTCTGGCCAATCTTTTCTTCTTCAAAACTGCTGGATGAGTTCAATTAAAATTAAATTAATGAAATTGTGTCATCGTCATCTGTCTAGATCAGGGATGTCCAAACTCATGCCTGGAGGGCCGATGTGGTAAGTTTAGATCCAACTTCAACACACCTGCCAGGAAGTTTTTAGTATGTCTAGTAAGAGCTTGATCAGCTGGTTCAGGTGTGGTTGATTAGGGTTGGAGCTAAACTCTCCAGGACACTGACCAACCAGGACCAAGTTTGGACACCCCTGGATTAGATAGTCCATTAGCGAAGAAAAGGTGTTGCAAATTCACTTTGTTTTCATACTCCATACAAATGCCAAATACAAGTTGCACTTCCAACATACATTTCTAACATAGAAAATACAGAACTAAACACCGACAAAGAAGAGTCAACGTAAGTTGAATATTGAAAATAGAATTTTACAGAAGTGTGAAGTGAAGCCCTGTGGATTTAACCACACCATCTCACAATGGCATATGAAAGTGAAAAATGCACCACAGTATATTAGCAACAAATGTGTACAACTAGAAAGGGGGGCGGTATATGATGGAATAATTTTTTTATCCGAAACCGAATTTTCGATTAATTGCACAGCCCTACTGTCTATTGTGCACGAGTGTTGCTGCTGATATTGTTATCAATGTAATATTTAATAATATTGTGATATGCAACATTTGTGAAGTCACACAGCTTTGGATAGCTCAAAACAGTAACCACTAGACTCGGAAAAATGCCATAAGTGTGTAAAGGTCTCAAATCCCTATTTTAACAAGCCAATAATATTGACTGACCTTTTTCCTCAAATGTTTCTGTAGTCGTTTTGACAACAAAAACACTGCTGTCTTCTCAACAGAAACTCCGCCTCTGTTTTCATTTGATTGGAGAACGAAAAAGACGTGACTGGTGTAAGACAATTTTTTTTGCTCAGAGTTTAGTTTTTTCAACTGCTAGCACAAAGGGCGAAATAGCAAAAACATGAGGCGAGCATGGTGCATATGCAGCACACGAATCGTTTGCGGCCGTTAGACATTTAAAAAGAATATATTTTAGAGCAGTGAGCATATTACCGTGATACCATGATAATTTTATCCAAGGTTATCATATTGTTAAAATTTTAACCGGCTCATGCCTACTCAACACAAAAAAAACGTGTTCGGTGTGATCGGCAGACAAATCATTCAGTCACAGAAAACGTAAATTTTTAGTAGCTTCAAAAAACATACTGTATCTATGTGCAGTATGTCTGCAAAGAATATTATACGGCGTTATTTATTTGACATTTAATTATTCAATTTTTTTGCCTGAATAATTTTAGTCTCCCAGAAAAACCATAAAGCTTTTTTTTTTATATTTGTAACTTTGCTTTTCTATATTTAATACATTATGCAGATGCACTCCACTACAAAATTATCATATTATCATCCAAATTGTCCTAAAAATGGGGGTGTGCAATTAATCAAAAATTCAGTTTCGATTTTGGCTTCTAACGATTATGAATAAAACATTTATCAAGATAAACAATTATTCAATCATATACCGCCCCCTCTCCAGTTGTAAACATTAGTTGCTCTGCAAAGCTCCGTTTCACATCAACATTTCTAAAAGCATGTACTGTAATGTAACGTTTGCAGCATGGGATTCGGGTTCACTGATGTACATTCGAATCAGTTATGTTTTTAAAAGCGCGAATGAGACCACATGCTGTTGTGTGTGTGCTCAGCCTCAGAGACGAGCAGAGCTTGAGAGCTGAGAGGCTGTGGAGGAAATGAATGCAGGAAGGAGCAGGTTATCTGACTGGGGAAAAATGGAAAAAACTAACATGTAGGCATAAGTGCAGTGTTCCAGGTAGAGCCTATCAGTGCTGAATGACAGGTGTGGCACTGACCTATGCATATACTGCAAAACAGGTGGTTTCACCAAGCTGCCTGACAAAACACCCAAGGTCATAAAGAACAGGCTGGGGATTGTCTCTCGGTTTTCATGTCATTCAGAATGCAAATAGCTGCCTTTAAAGTGTACTAAGATACAATTTCGTCAAATTTGATACACTTAATAAATTATCTGCTGTTTTAAAATTGTAATTGTCATAGCATTTAGATCTGGTCATAAATAAAATTAATTAATAAATAAAGCATTACAGTAATGCTATAGAGGTCAACTTAGGGCTTTTGTGATTTTAATTTTGGTCATATTATGATCTCAAAAATGTTACACAGAAAACCCTTTTCAAAGTTATTATTAATTACAATTTAAAATAGTTATAACATGAATAATAATTCGTAAATAATAATGTATTAATGATATAATAATATGATTAATAAATATATTAATTAATAATAATTTTACATGAAAATAGCCAGACTGTAAAAAATGGCCATGATTTCAACTGTAAAAAAAACTGTAAAAATACTACAGCGAAAATCTGTAATATATATATATATATATATATATATATATATATATATATATATATATATATATATATATATATATATATATATATATAACCATAAATTGACTTTCCCAGAATCCCTTGTATTGCACATCACTTTTTGTGCTTTTGCTTGACATTACTATGGATCTTTGTTGTTTACCCATCAGTTATGTGCATTAGAGATTTATGTTGCATCTAATGTTAATAAACAATGTTTATTTCATGAATTTTATGCATGTTAGCATTCTGATGTTTAGTAGCTGTGTGAATGACACTGAGCACACTTTACTGTTAGAGGGAAAAGTTGTTTGTTATGAGCATTGGTTCAGTATGTAACTTTCTCATCACCACCTGCACATGGCTGTGTTAACGTGTCTAACTGTGTAACAAAAGATATGTAAATGTTGGTAATTCAAAATACAGACATATTACCTCTATAGATTAATGCAATATGGTAGTTTACTGTAAAAAATGAGAGATTACATTTACGGCTTGTACTGTATTTTTATGGGTAATATAATGGCAACCTCAGCAGCCGGTTTTGTGCCGTAAATTTTACAGATTTATTTTTTACAGTGTAATTAAACTGCAAAAGTAAATCCTGCCATAAAGGCCTCTGAAATTATCGTTTTTTTTTTTTTTTGCCGGGGGGGGTCTTATTATGCTAATGAGGAAATAACAATAATGCATTACAATAACGAAAACCAAATTATGGCTGCAACAGCGAATCGATTAAATCGATTAAAATAGATTATTAAAAGCGTTGCAAACAAATTTCATAACTGATTCGTTGTGAATCAGTGAAAGCAGAGAAATCTGTGTGGCCCTAGTCATCCAAGATGTGGGAGCATTTCATAGTAAATAAACAAAAAAAATTTAACTGAGCTTTGGTGCGTTGGCTGGCACTGAACCATAGAAGATGTGTCATATTATCATAATTTAGCAGTGTTTTAAACCACCCAGACATGTAGACATGTAAATACACAAGTGCTAGTAAAAAAAAAAAAACAGTTTGTAAAACACACAAGAAAGTCTATGGGTCTAACAACCCATTCAAATATAATTTGCCCATGTGTTTTATTCATGTCAGATACACATGCTATTCACTTATATATACAAGTAAGGAATTAAATTGGTTTACATAGGGTTTGTACTTAATGCTCTCCTGGATATACTATTTTGGACTTTACCATACATTATTATTAAGCAACTCTTCATAAAACTATATCAATCATTAAAAACAGTATTAGCTATTTAAAACATGTTTTATCTGCATCTGAAATTATTCTTTAACCACGGCAGACTTTTTTATAAGGGCATGTACACAAAAGCATGACGTCAATGTCCAGAGAGGTGTCAGTGTCGTAAGGTCCGAGCAGACACACACGCACTGTGAACGAGGAAACGACTTTAAGTTTAACGACGTAAGTTGTGAATATGATTATGATTTCCCTGTTTGCCATATTACAACTATCAAGGACACCAGGACTATAACTTAATGTGTTGTGTGTGTGCAGTGCCGCGAAACTTCCCCATTTTGCTCTCTGCTCTGACTTACGCCCATTTCAGTTCAATGAATGACGGCGAGCGTCCGCTTACGTCAACTGCGTAACTCGCGTTTGTGAATGAACGTTGCGTGTGTCTTTTATAAAAACGCAGCTGGAAAGTAGCAAACGAGACTCGTGGCCGCTTATAAATTGCACGTTCGTGAATGTAACGAGCCGAGGTGACGTATTCGACTAAAGTCAAACCAAAAGAGAAACCAGTAACCAACCTGCCGACGAAATTTTCCAGCACGGAGCTTTTTCCGGCGCTCTGTCCTCCGACAACTGCTATCTGCGGCAGATCCAGGTTACAACTTTGGCCAATGGAGCTGAAAGCATCTTGGAGTTTATTGATCAGGGGGATCAATTCCTCCATCCCCCGGTTGCCCATGGTTTCTGGCCGTCTCTCAGCGCGCAGGAACGGGCTCGCAGCAGCAGGGCGCTCGGGTTACTTTCAAGTGTTCAGTTTCCACCCTTCAAACGCTTCCAGAACGGTCTGTCAAAGGCAAACGGCGCGTAAAACACTCGCTGACTGACAGAAGACGCGCATGTGTTGTAATACGTGCTGTGATCAGAGGATCAATCATTCGTAAAGTCACAAAACAAAACTTCTCGCTATCATCCGGTCAGGCGACATCCGACCTCCACCGGTGACGCGAGTCCCGCCTCCTGTCAACCGACAACGTGATATCTGATTGGTCCAAGGGAGCGCTTCCTGGTGTGTTCTGCGTTTTGATCGGCTTTCGGCCTCCAACGGCGGAAGAGTGCTATTGGACGGCTTGGACGTCAATTTAATTTCAATAAGAAAAGAATAGGAAAATACGGATGTTGTTGCAAAGTTAATCAAATGTACTTACTTGATCACAACATATGTAACCATGAGAAATTACGATAATGTGGTGTTTATATAATTTATATAGGCTAATAAAATAAATATAGAAAAAGATAAACAAACCATGATATTTTAATAGTAATTATAACATAATATTCAACATAATATTCATTCATTTTCTTTTCGGCTTAGTCCGTTTATTAATATGGCGTCGCCACACCGGAAAGAACCACCAACTTAACCAGCACATGTTTAAATTTTTTTCTTATTTATTTTTTACAGTCATTTGTTTAAACCCATGACTGGGTGACACTCATACACATTCAGGGGACGATATAAGGGCCCATGCCATTTTGGGGCCTGTAAAAGAACTATTAGGGACCCAAGAGCATTTCGCAACCACACTTTTGTGCAACAAAAAAAGTAAATTTTTTTAAAGAAATATAACTAAAAGAAGGATAACGAGGAAGTACAAGAGAAAAAAATAAATAAATAAATGAGGGCATATGAAAAAATAAAACAAAGTAATGCTGAATATTAAATAAAGTTTTGATTGCTTTCTTGTTATGAGACTTTGTGATGGTTTTTAAGTACAGTTCCAATTCTCATTTATATAAATAAAACATTTTGGCTCACTTTATATTTGCCTTTGTGTATAAAAAAAAAACTTTCCAATAAATAAAATGAGGTTAATGCAAAAAGTTGAAGGAAGGGATTTTTTTTCTTTAACCTCTTAAAGCCCAATGTGTTTTTTACATGCATTTTTTTTGTTATTTCTCTTTGATATTTGGGCTTAATGGAACCTAGTTAGAATAAAACCTAAGTATCCTTTAATATGATGTACTTTAAGAGAAAAATGTTGCCTATATACAGTTGAAGTCAGAATTAATATTTTTTTTATTAATAAAAAATATAGTTTTGTCATATATGTAATATATTTTACACCGATTTATTTATTTGGATTATGAAATTTATTTATTAATGTATTGCATTTTCATATAAGTGTATCTTTATATAGTAAACATTACATTTTAGCATGGGGATCGAAAATAGGGGTCTGTGGCATTTAAAAGATTGAAACCCCCTTATACATTACTAGAAGACTATTGAGCCATTTACTTTTGAAGAGTCAGGTTCGACTCATTTCTGAGAATTGGTTCTTTAAAACAATGACTCCAAACAACCATATAGTTCTCTTTTTATTCATTACAATCCCTTATATCATGACTTGCCTATTACTTACACAATCAGAGATAAAACATTCTAATTAAGTCAAAGTTAACCAAATGTATCATTTATAACTCGTTCACTGTTTATATAAATATGTTTGAAAATAATGTCCACTTTGCATAACACTCTTGGGTGTGCGTTATTTTTTAATAATCCAATGACCTATTGTCAATAATTCTGCATAAAGTATATAATGGTTAGGCTAATGTCTTTTGGCTAGTGTATTTGAAGACATTTGTCAGGTTTTTTTTTTTTTTTTTTTCTTCAACAGATATCTTTTTGGGTTCAAGGCCTGGAATCAGTGCACCTGCATGTTCATAAAAAAATAATTCCATGCCCTAATTAATTGTATCAGCAATCAGTTGGTGAAATTTAAGAAACCTACAATTATTGTGTTATTTGACATTCCATGTGAAGCTAAATACCACAATTAAATTGAACTGTTGATTTCAAAATTTGCATATAATGGATTTGGAAAAATCTAAATTCGTTAGCGTAAATGGGCAGTATTTTAAGATGAATAAAGGGTCACTGCCACTATACATTAACAGAAATAAGAAACAACCTAATAAAACTTTGCAATATTTTAAAGACTTAATCTTATTTATTTATTTATTTTATTTATTATTACTTAAAAAAAAAAAAAAAACTTGCACCTAATTTTAAAAAGTGATTTGTCATGTCGTATTACCTTCTCATTTTTACACTTTTATTGCATAAGTGTTCTTCCTTTCTGTTATTTTCTGTGTACAGTTGAATTTATAACTTATAATTAACTTATAACCCCTTAATAACTCATTTCTAAAAAAATGATTTATTTGATCTTTGTCATGATGACAGTAAATAATATTTGACTAGATATTTTTCAAGACACTTCTATACAGCTTAAAGTGACATTTAAAGGCTCAACTAAGTTAACTAATTTAAATAGGCAGTTTAGGATGATTAGGCAAGTTATTGTGGTTTGTTCTGTAGACTATCGAAAAAATATATAGCTTAAAGGGGCTAATAATTTTGACATTTTTATTATTATTATTATTATTATTATTATTTTAAGATTAAAAACTGCTGTTATTCAAGTCGAAATAAAACAAATAAGACTTTCTCCATAATAAAAATATTATCAGACATAGTGTGAAAATTTCTTTGCTCTGTTAAACATAATTTATGAATTAAAAAAAAAAAAAGAAAAAAATCAGAGGGGGCTAAAAATTTTGATTTTAACTATATATTAATTAATCCTTAAAAAATCCGACCGAATCAATCCTAAAAGATTCGACTCAAATGAACAACTCACACGCGAGTCGGTCATTGTTATTCAAAATGGCTGCGCCCATAGACGACAGCACACATGAGAGGGAACTAGGTAGTATGGCATCTGTAAAAGCTGTATCTTCGGCTGCCCCCCTTGCACTTCGTATCGTGGCGGAGTGTCCGGTGAGCAAAGCGAGAGCCTGCAGTCTGACTCTCCCGCACTGCGCGGTCAACACGCCGGTGTTTATGCCCGTAGGCACTCAGGGCACCATGAAAGGCATCACTGCTGACCAGCTGGAGGATCTGGACTGTCAGATCTGCCTGGGAAACACCTATCATCTGGGCATGAGACCGGTGAGTGAGAGCAAACACCTCAGAGTGTCTGGATAAAGCATCATAATCAAAGTACTATGTTTTTAACTTTTATTTCTGTTTTCTAACAGGGTCCTGATTTAATAGAGAAAGCCAACGGACTGCATGGATTTATGAAATGGAGAAGGAATCTCTTAACAGTAAGTTAAATGACAAAGTGGCAGCTTGAATAAATTGAGTTAAAGTTGGTTTTTATATTCACACATTCGTTTAGTGGCAGCTCTATACATCAGTACATACCATGGTACTTTGAATAAAGGGTCTGAAATTGCATGCAAGTATGACTTTAAAACAACATTAGCACTATTTAATTGACTGTGAACAATGCTGTACTTTGATGATTGTTGACTGCTAATATGATTTTCCTATTTAGAATTCCCAATTAATATATATATATATATATATATATATATATATATATATATATATATATATATATATATATATATATTTTTTTTTTTTTTCTGAGATTATATTATTAATGAGAAAAACTGAATGTGGGAATATAAAACCAACTTTACCTCAATTTTGAATGATGGCACAGTTTGACTAGCGTATATTGAACTTGACAACACATACACAACGTGAGCAAAAACTGATGAAATATATAGACATATAATATGACTATATTAATGTATAATATGTTAATTAGCTAATTGGTGTTAGGTCTACTAAAGCTTAATTTTGAAGTTGCAGAATTTTCTAACGCATTTTTCTAAATTCTAATAGTTTTTTTTTTTTCCTTGATCAATTGTAGGAAATATATATAAATGTGTGTATGTATGAATATATGAATTCGTTTTTTTTTTTTTTTTTTTTTTTTTTTTTTTTTTTTTTTTTAACTTATTATTCTTCATTTGTGAATTTGAATACTTTTGTGTATCTTTGAGGGCTCTAGGCAGTTTTGTGTGACCCTTGAGTGGATCCCAGCCTCTGAATTGAGAAACCATAGCCTGCCGTGATTTGTATTGCTCATTGAACTCCCCTTACTATAGTTTTTCACCCTGTTTTTAACTAATAGGACAGTGGCGGTTTCCAGATGGTGTCTCTAGTGGAGTTGTCGGAAGTGACGGAGGAGGGCGTCACGTTCCGTTCCCCTTACGATGGAAAGGAAATTCTGCTCACCCCTGAGCAATCCATCGCCATACAAAACAGCCTGGGTATGAGCATCTCACACCTTTTTCAATTTTTTTTAGGAGAAGGGTAATTTTACAAGTCACCTAGTTGGAGGTTTAAGGATAGACAGCCTACCAAGTTAAACAGTTGAGTTTTCTTTTAATAGGAAAATGATCCGAACACTTTTTTATGAGATGCTAACCGTCTAATCTGATTCAGTAGTTTATGCTAAACTAAGCTAAAATTGCTCTTGCCTGAACTGCATTCCGGTTCAATTGTTTATGCCCTTCACTTGCTAAGTTCCCTCCATCTCATTGACTCGGATGTACGTCATTGATTATGCTACACAAGTGTCCCCTACTGGTGGAGCATTTGAATGGGTTTAAATAGAATGTCCTTAACTCTTGGGCATTTGGATAATGAACTGTTGTGATGCCACAATTGCTTTGCATTCTGGGAAAGAAACTGAAGTGTTTCTTTAAAAAACATAGAATGTAGTTTGAGATATAATGTGATTGTAAGAAAGTGACTGGTGTAAATTTGCAAAACTGGTGCATGTGTTTTTTAAAGAGATGAAAGAATGTTTTCTCTACAGGTGGTTTGTCACGACCACTCACCTGTGTGAGGCACACAGATGACTATTTTGTAGTTTGGTCATTAATTTTACTAATTAACAACCATTAAACATCTTCTGGGAAGCGGTTTAAATTTCCGTTTGGCAAAGTTAGAATTTCATATATGTTAGTGTTCCATTTGGGGCAACACTAAACCCATACAAGTATAGTATAAGTGTATAGTGTATAAGTGAATAGTGTGTCATTTGGTACACAACTATTGTCTCTCGCCCAGTTTAGTACATTAAACTAATGCTAACTCAAATCTTTATGACTGTCTATATCCCTCAGGCTCAGACATCATGATGCAGCTAGATGACGTGGTCAGCAGTACAGTTAAAGGGCCGCGGGTGGAGGAGGCCATGCATCGCTCTGTGCGCTGGCTGGACCGCTGCATCGCAGCAAACAAGAACCCAGATCGACAGAACCTGTTCGCCATTATTCAAGGAGGACTTGATGCTGAACTACGCAAGGCCTGTTTAAAAGGTGAGCACTAGACAGGCCTGTTAAGTTTCAGTTTATTTTGCACCAATTCTGGGTTTTTGGTAGCATGAAGGTAGTCATTTGATATGAAGTGATAAACAGTCAGATCTTTTGCTAGAAAGCCTTTTGTTGATTAACTTCTGTGGTCAGTAGGTGGGCAGGTTTCTAACACTTAAATGTTAGTTATCTTGCTGACTCCGATATTTTACATGCTTTGTTTAGCCATATCCACCTAACCACTTCCCTTCTCCTAAAAAATTGTTAAAGACTCAATTTAGAGCTGTTTTCAGACTTGTGATAAGACTTGAAGACTGCAGACCTTGTAAGAGACTCCAGTAGACTCTTGCAGTCTTGTGGACTTCTTGAAGATGCTGTATGACTGCAGATTAACTAACATGTCTAAATAAAGGAGTTCTTCTGCTTGTTCGAGTCTCTTGGACTGGGTTCTCTCTCTTCATTCAGTTAATATTTTTCCAACACTAAACAGGCCGTTTTTGACGTTCATAAATTTCAAACGTCATCGTTCTGAGCACATTAGGAGGATTGCTGAAAGCGGTAAAGTAAGGGGTTTATATCTTTGATAAACTATGACAGTTTGCGTTTATTTAAAACCAAGAATGATTTATAAATAAAAATGAAGCAGTCTCTTAAAAGTGACGTCATGTTTTCAGTTTTGTGTTTGGGCCTGCTTAACACTCCCACTATAAGTGTACCAAACCCCACTCTGGCCCACCACTTCCAACTGGGTCAAGGTTGGCCAATCGATCAGATCCCATGTTGAATAAATGCATCATCTGGGTATTTTAAAGTGCCCTTACTCCAATTAGAATCTTCAGTGTGAATGCGCCATTTATACAATTTACTCTACAAAATGGCATTGAATAGGGATTAGGTACGTGATAAGGGATGCACCTTTTGATCTGCATTTAAGCCATGTTCACCAAACTCGAAATAGACTGTTCTGACTCCTACCTTTTAAAAATGATCAACTTACAGACCTCACGACCCTGCCAAATAAGGTCAGTATGTAGCTTCTGCTTCCCCTGAGCACTTTCATTTGTCAAACAAACATAGGGGTCAAATGTGCCCGGGCACAGTTCACATAGTTTAATGTAAGTACACCCTTAAGGGGCTTTCACAGATGTGGTTCGGATGATTTGGTTTAGACCAAGTTCAACAAATGATACATTGTAGTATTGTTCTGCCATTTTTGGATCCTTTTCACACCACACTGATTTCTTTGGGCCAAACCAGTTGAAAATAACCAAAATGCAGTCATATGACAAAATCTGCATTGGCCAGATGTTATTGAACATATTTCCTAAACTGCTTTTGAAACTGCTTTCCTAAAATGCTAATGGAACTCCCGCAATTAAACAAACTGGCAGACACAAAATGTCTCTTTTTACAATGGAGGGACGTCACGTTAGACAAATTACATTTCGAGAATAAAGCTGCGACTAGAAAACGATGCTTAAATGCATTGCAAACGGCAAAGTTGTATCGCAAGTCACTTCAGGAGGAGGCACTAATTAATTTAGCTAAACTGCAACATGTCTTTCAGAAATTTTACCAACGAACCATCAGGGGCCTCATGTACGAAGACTTGCGTGGAAATCTTACTAAAACATTGCGTTCGCACAAAGCTGTAAATGTGCGTACGTAGAAAAAAATTCAGATGTATGAAACACTGCGTACGCCGAATCTCACGCATATTCTTTTGTACATCCGAATGAACGTGAAACTGAGCGCAACATGCACGAGCGCAAAACCCCTCCCTGCCTCCTCCCCCGTATGAATATGATAATGACTATGCTAATGGAAAAACCCAACGAAAAAGCAAAGGCAAAAGCAAGCAAGAAGAGAAACTTTGAACAGAATGTGAATTGGTGGTGCTCCTTTCGGAGGTAGACTGGAGAAAAGCGGTGTTATTTGCAAGTTTGTTCTCCGGAATTAACAACAAAAGAAAAAAAATAGAGTGGGAGAGTTTAGCTGATGCGGTTAACACAGTTGGGTCTGAACATCGCACTGACTGCATTAAAAAAAGAAATAGTGTGGTTTATATCTGTAAAATATTGCAGCACTCGCAACAGTCTCAGTGGCGCGCTCCTAAGACGCATGTGATCATGTTTTGACACGTTCGAGCATGAACTCGGCTCGAATCCAGCGTCTGATGAACTCTTTCTTGTTTTTTCCCCCCTACATATCAGATTTTGCCTACTATTTATCACGAGAAAGACAAGTAGGAATCATCAATAAGTTTGTGCATCATATTTTATTTGCACATTTATTGAATGGAAATGTTTCTGATTCAGGCATGCAAATTCATCTTTAGATAGTGTCTTTATAGCAATGTGCGTGCGGTAGATAGCTCAGATTACATGGGGAAAACAGGCGACCGCTCCAAATTGTGCTTTAATGTTTAGCTGGTCAACTGTATGGTATGGAAATCTTATTTACCTGCTAGATCGATGAACCCGTCTCATACAGCTGCCATTGCAAGGCTCAGTCACTTTGTAGAGAGGAATTTAACACAACTGCCTCTAGGAGTCGCCAATGGAAATAAAACAGACACGCACAAAAAATGTGCGTACGCCTGCCAGAAAGCTGCCGTGAAGCTGCGCACATTCCCACGTTCAGTTCATTGTTAGTAAATCCAAACGTGAGCGATTCTGAGCGTGAAACCTGGCGTACGCAAAGTTTTTGTGCGTACGCAGCGTTGATACATGAGGCCCCAGGTCTTTCTCTCTCCTTCTCTCTCTGTCTCTCTGTCTCTCTGTCTCTCTCTCTCTCTCTCTCTCTCTCTCTCTCTCTCTCTCTCTCTCTCTCTCTCTCTCTCTCTCTCTCTCTCTCTCTCTCTCTCTCTCTCTCTCTCTCTCTCTGTGTTTAGAAAAAAATTGTATAGTATTTATTAAGGTTCTACTATATAAGGTAATCATCTTAGCTTAGGATTTACTGCATAGCTAGGATTGTGTCTCTTATGTTGCTGCATTGTGCCATATAAAAACGGTTTGAATGTGGGCAGATGTCAGAAATAAAGTATAAAATTTAGTTTAAATTAAAGATTGTGTATATACATTTAATTTTGTACCAATATGTTACTATGGGATTGAAACCATAATCATAGCACAGTTTTCATCATTGGTAGAATATAATTTGATAGAGTAAAACTATTTAGGTTTAACCATATAGCTACACTGTAAGAAATGATGGGTTGCACACGATCAAATTGCAGAGATGGGACGTAGTGAAGTACAAATACTTTGTAACTGTACTTAAGTAGATTTTACTGGTATCAATACTTCAGTACTTACTCCACTATTTATTTTTCTGACAACTTTTTACTTTTACTTTGTACATTTTTACACTTATTATCACTAAAAAATATATAATAAATAATACTAAATTGTATATTATACATAAGAAACATTAAATAATAAATTATATATTATAAACAATATACATTATTACACTTTTATCCCTTTTCACTCCTTACATATTTTAAATCAGTGGTGCCACTTTATGTAGGCTAGTTTATGAAGATTACTTTGAGAAAGGCAATGATGACTATTCAGATGAGACAGAGGGAGACGGCCAATTAAACATGACTGATGCTGCCCTGTTTACACTGTAATGAGACACATTTTGCTTGATTTGATCACAGTTAAACAAGAGAGACACAATTTAGTTCAAAAACATGCCATGTAAATGTTAGGAAGTCTTTAGTCCACTTTTGATCTTACTGCACAGGATTTTTCTGGTCTTTCAATCTAATACCCTGAGAAAAAAAGTGCTTTTTTGTGAACAAATAAATGTATTTCCTTTGTTTTTTCCATATTTCCTAATACATAATGCATGCTGTTTAACAGATTTTTTTTAACTATATATATTTTATTGACTATATGATTAGTCGATATGACTAGATGATTACTATTAGTGAAACTAAAACATGTACTAGTAATGGATACTTTTTACTTTGCTTTTACTTGAGTACAAAAGTGTAGTCTGTACTTTCACTTTTAGCAGAGTCATTTTAAACATGAGTATCTGTACTTCTATTTGAGTAATAGATGTGTGTACTTTTGCCTTCTCTGTCAATTTTTGTTGGGCAACATGAAAGAATTAAATCAACTAAATTTAATTGCGTTAAACATAAAACAGTTAAGTTGCCCCCCTAAAACTCAAGAATTGTGTTGTTTCAGCTCAATTTAAGTAGTTTGAACAAACAGCAAATTATTATTTTTTTTAATTGTAAAATTGACATACCAAAGCTTTAACCCAAAGAAAAAAAGAAAAAGAAAAAACCCACAGCAAGTGGTTAAAACAAGAAACCCAATTATGAGCATGACATAGAGGTTATTTAAAAAAAAAAATGGAGCCCCCAATAGTCCTAAATTAATGTGAATTTTCTTTTTTTAACATGCACTCAAAAAATGTCTTTCTGCCTGTTTTTTTTTTTTTTTTTTTACTTCTTATAGACAATTTAATTGTTTTGTTCAATCCACAAAAAATTGTAAAAGCCATTACATTAACTTAATCGATTTGTGTTGGGTCAAAAGGAATTGTTATCGTTTTATGTTCAATCAACTTAAAATTGTTAAAAAACATAATAAAAAAACAGCACCCTGCATTTTTACATGAAATTGTCATGGGGTTTTTACAACATAGTAATCGACATCATATATTATATGAAGTTATACAACTATGTTCTACGAATAAAATGTCAACAATGCCAAAAGGATTAAATATCTCTCATTTGAAGCTTGTATGTTTCATGTTAAAAGAAGAGACGGGTAAAAGAAGAAATAAGTTAAAGTAATAGATGAATGATGTATGTGGTAATGGGGTGGTGGACATAATAAGCTTGTGCTTCATCCCACTCCATTTCGATCATGTTGAAATGGGTTTTGTTTAAAGAATTGTTTTGTGTAGGCTTTTTTTATGTTCGAAATAAATAAATATAATGAAATAAAATCAAGTTCATACAATTTTCAGGGTTCTTTTTAAAGTAGTAGTTCACCCAAAAAATTGAATAATGTTGCGATTTATTACCGGCTTGCATTGTTTGGTACTTGTTAAGCTGCGCATCAATGGATTACTCTTCAGTGTTTGGACTCAGCAATGAATATCAAACCACACTGAACTGAACTAAAATAAACTTATCTAACTTAACTGAACTTAACTGAACTTTAACTCTGCAAACTGAACTGACACTGTTTCAGTTCATTATAATCTTCTATGTGAAGCTGCTTTGACACAATCTACAGTACATTTTAAAAGTGCTACACAAATAAAGATCAATTGAATTGAACTACTACCCTTTGACTTGTTCCAAAGATTTTTTTGTTCTGTTGAACACAAATGAAGGTACTTTGGAGAATGGCAGAAACCTGCAAGCATTGGTTTCCATAGTATGTGGTATTTTATGGATGTCAATGGTTACAGGTTTTCAACATTCCTCAAAATATCATCTTTTGTGTTATTTTGTGTTTTGTGTAAATTGACAGATGTGTTCTTATAAATTTAACAGATTTAATTGAATTTAACCCTTCAGTTACACCTAACCATAATGTTCTCTCATGGTTGTGATTTCTATCTATTATTATTACACTCAGAAATGACAAAGCGTGACGTGCCGGGCTTCGCCATCGGTGGATTGAGCGGCGGAGAGGAAAAGGACGATTTCTGGAAGATGGTGACTCTCAGCACAGACCATCTCCCAAGAGAAAAACCCCGCTACCTCATGGGAGTCGGGTAAACCACACTTCTTCTGATTATGCTTTCAGTTTATGCCATTGTAGTTTACATTATTATGTTTGTATATGGACTGTTGACTGTGTGCATGTGTGTGTGTGTGTTTTAATGTTGTGTTTTAGCTACGCTGTGGACCTAGTAGTCTGTGTTGCTCTGGGCTGTGATATGTTTGACTGCGTTTTCCCAACTCGAACAGCAGTAAGTACTGGATTTCTGCTCACTGGTAGGGCTGCACGATTAATCGAAAAAAGATCACGAACTTCGACCCTACACACGATCTTAATTTAGCTTTTCTACGAATCAGCCAATTATATTTTCAAGGTCAGGAGAGAAGCTTAAAAGCGGTCGCACAGTCTCCACACGAACATGAACACCTTCAAATGTCGTTAAAAGTGTGAAATACTGTATTCATAAGGTATAATTCATCCAAAAATGTCATTTCTGTCTTCTTGTAATGATGTATTTGTGGCCACGAAATCACACTTGAGCTGACTGCGAACTATTTGTTTACTACTATCAATGACGCATACTTTAGTGAACAGAACCTGCATAGGCTGTGAATAACAGGTAATACAGTTTAAATAATGTTCAGTCTGTTGCACAGAGCGATCATTTGGGAGCCACGCTGAAAGAACGATTTGCATTTGTGTGTTTTATTTATCACATTGACCGCAGCCATGAGACGCACTCGAAAGTGAAAAAGAAACTGGCTGCACACAACATTTAAATGATCATATCGCATTTTACAGTTATGATCATGACAAGCATTTGATGTATTTTTTTTCTTTTATAGCTAACACATAGTGTTGTGCATGAAAATAAATGTTTAACAGTGCCAGTATAACCACTGTAGTTTATATAATGTTGAATAAAATGCAAAAAGAAATCTCATAATGACAAATGTCTGATTTTACCAGTGAAAACAAAAGATTAAATAATGTTGTCAATGACAAATGACAAGCACATGTCAAAAAACACCAGAGATAAAAAATAAATTTAGTTCAGTTAAAAAACAGCCGGTATAGTTAAAAAATGACGTGCGTCTGTTCAATACAGCTCAAGCTGCAGATGAAGGCTGCGCAGAGCGTGGGTCACTGACTGGAAACAATTGGATACTTAAGCTTAAAGGCTTCTTATCGCCGTGTTTCTGCTGCATTATTAGAGGCTCAGGTCTGATTGGGCCTGTCAGATTAAACCTGGAAGAGTTTTAAGACTTTATTTATTTTTCAGTTAGCTAATCATACACATTTAAATCTAGATCTGCTTTTAATGAGGACATGTGTGACCGTTTCAGAGATTTGGCTCTGCTTTAGTGCCCTGGGGATCTTTGCAGCTCAAACAGAAACAATACGCCAAAGACTTTCAGCCCATTGATCCTGACTGCCAGTGTCCCACCTGCAGGAGGTACAGTACATGCATCCGTCTGCACTTTAACTGAATGAATAGTGGCTTCAATATGATGACATTCTACTGCAATACTTATAGCAGAGCAGTTAACCCCTAAAATGGATATTTTGATCAGGATAGGTAGTTAAAGTCTGTGTAAAGTAGGGCTGTACCATGTATCTTTTCAAAAATGATATTGCAACGTGCGCATATGCAATGGTCACAATACAGAATCTGCATTGTTGAGTTGGTATTATAGGTGATCGAGAACTACAGTTCAGAATATTGTGGCGTCATTGTGCAAAGTTTAACTTTAATAGAGTGAATTCGGACAAGGCTTATGACTAATTAATTAATTGTATTTTTTATTAATTTTATAATTTTTTTTTTACAATCAACCTGACAAAAGTCTTGTCATCGATCGCCGTTGTAAAGGCAAGAGTTGGGCAAGGAATTCTAGTTGATCACTTGGAAAAGTGGCAGAAGGTAGATTTTCCAGAAAAATCATCTGTTGAACTGCATCCCAATCATCACAAATACTGCAGAAGACCTACTGACACATGAATCTAAGATTCTTACAGAAATTAGTCAAGTTAGTTGACGATATAAAAACATGATTTGGGCAGATGTGCAGAGTGGATTGCAACATTAACAGCGTGAGATACAGTATCAGCACATGTGTGCTGCCCATTACATTACTATCTACAGGAGAGGGCAAATTCTTCTGCAGGATAGCACTCCTGCTAATACTTTAGCCTCCACATTCAAGCTCCTGAAAGCAAAGAAGCTCGAGGTGCTGCAGGATTGGCCAGCCCAGTCACCAGACATGAAGATTATTGATATGTCAAGTTATTATTTGTTGTTTCTAAAACTTGGATAGGTGACAAGACTTTTGTCAGGTAGTGTATAGTGTGACTTATTTACATTTGGTTATTAAATTTCTGTACCTGAATCCAGATAGACTCTTCAGAAAACCATACAACACCATTTGCATAAGCTTTATTCTATTAGTCTGTGTTTACAGTTTGTTTGTTATATTTCATGCAGATGCGCTACCCCACAAAATCATTGCTAACTGTCTAAAGTGTTAGATCATTTGCAAATAAAGCTGTTCAAGTCACATCTGGTAAATTTATATTCATATTGCTTTATGCAGAAAAAACATCATAATTTACCAGAAATTAATGAGATCTTCACAGAAGAGGTCTTCACAGGTCTCAAAATTCATACCCGAACTTGGAAAAACATGGAAATTTAACCAAATTCAACTTTTATGATATTTGAAAATTAATATGTTTATTTATTTTAAATTTAGTGTATTTTTAATTTAATTTATTTTTTTCTGTTTCTTTGTTTGTTTGTTTGTTTGTTTCTTTCTTTCTTTCTTTCCAAAATCTGCAATTAACTTTTTGCTTGCGTTACAAAAGCAACAGCTGACACAAGTATTACATTCTAAAGTTTTCTGTTATCATCACCACCATGACAATTACCCGAGCATTGCATCTTGTGGTTGAGGTTGTCTGTGTGTGTTTAACCATCTTATTTCCTGTTTACAAAACACATGTAAATTGCTGTCAACTGATCACAGGCGGATGTGAAAAGTCAAAGCAATTTTTTTTTATTATTTATTATATATATATATTTTGTTATTAATAATTGTTCACCTGAACAATGTTTGCTCGCAAAATAAGCATTGTATGTTTTAATTTTGCATGGATTTTAACTGTGTAGTTCACTTCCTAAATGAAAATGCTATCACCATTTCCTCACCCTCCAATTTTTTTATGAGATTCTTATGCTGTTCTATTTGAATAGTTTTTGGGTCACTGTTGGCTCCTATAATACTCAATGGTGACCATCAATTGGAAAAGGAAGTCATTGGTGGCCTAGTCTGAGAATTCACTGGCTAAACACACATCTGATGCTTATGGAAACACTTTAGCAATTTGGAAGTCCTAATCTGATTAGATTAAACAAACACTACCTGACAAAAGTGTTTTCGTCTATTCAAGTTTTAGAAAAAACAAATAATAACTTGACTTCTAGATTACTGCCTCTAAATTGCGATTATTTTACCAAAATAAATATGATCATGCCTTGATTTTGTAATTATTTAATTGGGACAGTAAGGTCTGAATTTGCGTAGACAAAAGTCTTGTCGCTTAACATAAATTATGTACAGTAGAATATAAAGTCCTACTGCAGTGGAAAATTATTAAATAAATAATTAATATTGTGTATGACTCCCATGAGCTTGGAGGACTGCATCCATGCATCTCTGCAATGACTCAAATCACTTATTAATAAAGTCATCTGGAAAGGCAAAGAAAGTGTTTTTGCAGGATGGCAAAGTTAGTTCATATCGTCAGCAGTACTCTTTCAGTTTTTAAAGACATACCGTAGTCAAAATGATTTAGTTATTAAGTTAACAGTACATTAATATCACTGAAATATTAAAGTACAATATTATAAACTGAAAGTTCTGCTCTCCAAGTCTTTCTCCCCTGTGTTTGAGTTCGTTTTCCCTCTGTGAAGATCAGCGCGTGCCCTAACGGAAACTCCCATTTTTAAGCAAAACCTTCCCTCTTTCCCTCCCCCGACACTCCCACCTAAACAAAGCTGTACACACCCACTTTCCTGACTTTTTTCAAACTAGAGGTGTGTAAACACAAATGGGGGATTTTGTGGCCCTTTAACCCAAAGTACTGTCCGTTAGATACTAGAAACAAGCAAACCATTCTGTGTTTACGAGACTCAGCAGGACCTTCTTATCAGATGTTTCAGCTGTTTTGCTTGTACCCATTAAGATTGTAAAAGGGTAACACCTATCGTAAAAGAGCCATTTAGTTCACACCTATCAGTTAGTGAGGGTTGAGGCACAGGCCACCCCAACATAAATAGATTTTGATCAGTTCATTCAATGTAAATGTCACTGAACTAAAATGCACATAATCTTTTAATGGTAGAGGTATAAAGTGTTTAACTTCTCATGTAGTATGAAGTAGAAGTCAGGCTGAAAGCAGCTGAAGTATAATGCCACACAAAATCAGCTGAGCGTTTATTATGCCACAGTTGCTTGCAGTTCTTCCAGTAATGAACATCTATAGACAGCTTGATTTCAGGAGAAAACGTAAGTATAATAAGTTTGGTCATTTTAATGGCTAAGTCAGTTCAGTCGTACGAAAATGTACAATTTTAAAAAAGAGGCGTGGCACCTAACCCTACCCCTAAACCCAACTGTCATTGGGTGATGAGCAAATCGTACTAAATTGTATGAATTAGATCATAAGAATTCACACGAATTAGCCACTAATTCAAAAAGTTATGGATTGCCATGAGATTGCATTTGTATAGACGGAACAGCTCTGTTTTGTCATGCTATATACATTGTAGTGTTTATTTATAATGTTACTCTATACAGTCTAATAAAACACACAACATATTAAATCATCATTGGTGTTTCACAGTTTCTTTTTTCAATCTAAAAAAACTAACCGGAAATTGAATGTACAGTATGTGATGTCATTAGAATGTAGAAACTCATAAAGGTTTAAAAGCACACAAAAGGGAGAATAAATGAGGGAATTTCCTTTTTTTTTTTAAGTGTACTACCATTTAACCCTGCCCAAAATCAATCAAAGTCTAAGTCTTTCAATGTTTGATTTTAATTTCTTTGTCTTGACATTGACAGACACAGTCGAGCTTACCTTCATGCCCTGTTCAAGAGTGACACTGCAGCCATGCATCACATCACCATCCACAACATCTCCTATCAGGTGATTATCAATATACCACATGTTCAAATGACATATTTATTACTGTTGTAGTGACTGTTTGCTCCTGTCTGCTTTAGCTGAGCCTCATGCGTTCAGTGCGCCAGAGCATCATTGATCAGAGGTTTCCCGAGTTTGTGAAGGAGTTCATGAAGAGGATGTTCCCGTCCAGCTCGCAGTACCCCAGCTGGGCTGTAGAGGCTCTGCAGTCAGTCAACATCTGCCTGAGCTGAGAGGAACACCTGGAGAGATGAGGGTTAACAGAAGAATTGTGCATTATTAAAATGCATTTTTATACTAATATTTTAAACATGTAGTATGTGAAATACCCGTTTTGTAAATAAAATCTTATTTTCATTTTAAGCTGAATCTAACTTTTGTCAAAATTAAAAGTATGTATTTTTTTTTATTTTGTTTCTGAATAACATGCAATTGAAGACAATAATTAGCCTAATTATTTTTCAAAAATATTCCAATTTTTGTTTTTTCCACAGTATTTTGTACATATTTTTCTTATTTAGAAATATTTTTTTCTTATTAGAGGTTTTTGGCAGGAATAATAATTTTAATGTGAGTGTGCGTGCGTGCGTGTGTGTGCGTGCGCCTGTATATACAGTGCTCAGCATAAATGAGTGCACCCCTCACAGATCTTTTATAATGAATATTTTCTATAGGATGCTTTACAACAGGGGTGTTCACACCCGGTCCTGAAGGATCACTGTCCTGCTGAGTTTAGCTCCAACTTGCTTTAACACACCTGCCAGAAAGTTTCTAGTATATCTAGTAAGAGCTTGATTAGCTGCTTCCGGTGTGTTTGGTTAGGTTTGGAGCTAAACTCTCCAGGACACCGGCCCTCCAAGACTGAGTTTTGGCACCCCTGTATTACAATAGTCAAGAGTAACCAAAAAGAAAAAAAAAACTTATATTAATAATTATAAAACTCTTTTACTCAAATACCCCAAAACTTTATTCCTATATTCACAGAGAAATTGCTAAATATATAAATATTCAAAATGTATGATTGGCTGCAAAACAAAACACTGTTGTCCAATGACTTGCCTAATTAACCTAGTTATTAAGTTGCACTTTAAGCTAAAGACTAGTATCTATCAAAATAGCTTGTAAAAACGAACGCACTGTCATGATGACTAAGATAAAAAAAATAATTATAAGGAGTATAATAAATGTAACTGGTTATTAGAAATACCATAAAATAAATTACTTTTAAATATGTTGAAAAAAATTTCATGAAACAGCACATATTTAAATTATAAGTTATTTGTTGTGCAAACATTATGTACTGTTTACCTTTTTAGGATATATCATGGTTTACATTTAACCTGTTGCCAAGAAAAAAGCACACATGCATGAAATATTTTTTATTAGTAATATTAACATTATTTGATGTATTATATCAACTATATGATGATGATGATTTAATTATTTTGGTGCATAAATAGCATATAAATATACAGATATACAGTTGAAGTCAGAATTATTAGCCCCCCTTTGATTTTTGTTTTCTTTCTTAAATATTTCCCAAACGATATTTAACAGAGTGAGGAAATTTTCACAGTATGTCTGATAATGCTTTTTTTGTCTGAAGAAAGTCTTATTTGTTGTATTTTGGCTAGAATAAAAGCAGTTTTTAATTAAAAAAAAAAAAAAAAAAACATTTTAAGGACAAGAGGGTGTGTCTGAAGTTGGGGCCGACACGATTGTCATTGCAGCGTCAGTAATTGAAATTTGTCAGCAATAAGCTCCTGTCTGAGCTGGTATATTTGCATTCAGCGACCTGATTGGCTGACGCTTCTGTTAGTGCTTCTACAACTTCTGCAGCGAGAAATGCCACTAAAGTTGTTGTTGCTAGATCTGATATGGTTGCAGCCGGAGGTTAAAGAGAATAATTTTTATTATTTATGAAATTTACCATTTATTTTATTTTATTAACGTCTACCCCCACCCCAACCCTAAACCCAACCATCACCATAATGTAAAAACAGTAGTTGTACCGAGTATTATTTAAGTTATCTATTAAATTACATTAAATCTACGAAATTAAGGTAATAATGTCTACTCCCACCCCAACCTTAAACCCAACCTTTACAGTACTGTAAAAATATTAATATTGTTATACAGTGTGATTAAAAAATGCTGCTATATTAATGTGCATATCGCATTTCTGGCCGGCCCCGTATCCGATCTAGACTTTACTTAGGGAAGCGCTGACACCGGCACCCTGTGCGAATAGGCTGTTAATACCCCACCAGTGCTGATATATAGCTACATCACACTGTTACGAGTTTAATATTGTGTTTATACAAAAGTTTGATGTCATAATCGTGTATATAAAAAAGAAAATCAAACACAGAGTCTAAAAAGACTTTTGCAAGAATAACTACATCCGCCATTCATTCACATCTGCAGCTGACGTCAGAACAGCAGAAACTGCTACTAATTCACCAACTTCACTTTAGAGCTAGTGTTTGAATGATTCTCTTGCGTAATGTATAAAGTGGTGACAAAACAGCTGATTTTGCTCACATTTTAAAATAATAGGGCTGGACGGCATAAAATGCCATCACAGATTTTCCAGTATTTCTCTTCTGCAATCAGGATATCACAATGACTAACCCTGAAAAAGCCAAAGCAAAGCAAACACTATCAAAACACTACTGTACTACAATATAAATACAGCACTACAACATACAAACAAGAGAGATTGACTTAGAAAGTTACTTACCTGTTTTATAATGATTTGAACAACTGTAGTTTCAAAACAATGATCTTTTCACCTCCTTGGCATCTTATGGGTTCTCAATTGCCATCTTGTGGTAGAACGTCAACCGGTTTTGTGCTGCTCAGTATGACAGGGTGGTGGATGCCAACGCGCCGTATCTCAGAAATTATAAGTTTAAATAAGCACTATCCTGCAATTTAAGCACTAAGTTGCAATTTAAACAACTACATTCTTGACTAAAAAAAAGACTCAAAAGTAGATAATGTTGTCCAACAGCTACAATATGTCAAACTATAGTGAGTTTATTGATCTGCTGTCACTCTGTGGGCAGAGTAATGCAGTAGGGTGACAACAGGCTGTAACAGTGCTGCTGTTGCAGAAGATTGCACATATAAGAGCCAATCAGATTCGAGAACCAGACAGAACTGTTGTATAAATATATATAAACTTTATGTTGTAAAAAATGTAGAGAACACCAATTCTTTTTTATTAAACAAAATATTACAAACAAAAAATGGAAGGTTACAACTGTAAAGTTTGTTAAATAGAGTTTGTTTTAAATAAAGAAATCACCAACACGTTTAATGATTTTTGTAAATTACGCAGTATTAGATGAGCTGTATTATATTGTACAGCTATGCAATATAAAAAACTTTCATTGTGAAAATTACTTTATATTTTACAGTAAAGATATACAATAAAGTAAATGCAAATAAAGCAAGATAAATGGTACTGTAAATGTTATTACAGTAGTTTGTTTTTTGCTGTAATAGATTTACAGTAAGTACTGTGGATTCTTCAGAAATTTGTTAAACTGGGTATAAATGCAAATGTTTTTTTTTTTTTTTCATCTTGCATAAGAATGAAGTTCAAATGAATCACAATCTTTTGTCACTTTAAAAACGTCTCCGCTGTCAATTTTGGCCAATTTAATACTTTTTTCAGTCTTCAAAAAAGTCTCACTGACCCCAATTATTTGAATAGTTTCTTGCTTGGTATTATTATTCCATGACATCAATTTAATTTTTACTTGGAAGCTTTTTCGTTGCATTTTTAGTGACATTCTGCAGCATTAAGTCCGTGAATCACACTTAACACCACAGCTGAATAGATGTGCTTGTAAAAAAAAAGACCATCAAAACCTTTAAAGGTCGAGAGAATGAAGCTTTATGAAACCTTTCAGCAGCTGAAGATGTGTTGTTTTTCCCACATGCGGCCACTAGAAGGCGGAGCGCTGAAGATCTGTTGGATTATTGACAGCGACTCTGCACTGGATTCTGTTTTTCTGTTCCGCTGGAGAAAATCGAATGTGACAATACAATTTATTTGACTACTCCAGCATGGATATCCACTTCTTTCGTTTATAATTATTATGCAACCTACATACATACGCTGGTAAAATATGTCAAACATGGCAGCAGATGTTAGTGTTTACTCATATGGACCATCTTCGCCTATACCAGTCTTCACACGGGTAGCCTATAGTTACTGTATGCAATTGTCTATAAACAATTAAATATTATTATAAAATTAGATATTAATTGTGTTCCATGAGACATTTACTGTAAATAGCACAGGCCTATCAAACCCTAATTTGTTATAGCTCATTTGGACGAAGGTGATTTTTCTAAATTATTTATTTTTTATTTATTTTATTTAAATTTTTTTTTTGCACCTTCAGATTCTAGATTTTCATATAATCGTTTCTTAAAAATACAAAATATTGTCATATCTTAACGGACCGTTAAGTAAATATTCCTAAATCTAAAATTCAGCTTCAGATTATATAAAATATATATGATTATTAATATTAATAAAAATAATAGTTTTGACTTTTTTTCTTTTGTCATACAATATAATATATATGATACATAATAATAAAAATAAACATTTTGACAGTTTTTTTTCTTTTTTTTCATATTATATAAAATACACAGCAAATTCTGGTCTTTGGAATAAACTCCCTGGGAGTCAAAATCAACTCAATCTGAGTGTACATGCGTGACCATCAAATGTACTCCCATTCAGAGTTAAAATCACTCTGCTTTTGGAGTTGAATTTTAACACATTTTTTTGAGTTAGATTATAACACTTTCTGGAGTTAAAATTGTAATCCTACAGAGAGTACTTTTACATTTGGGTATAATATAAACTCCTTACCAATGTTAAAATGTAACACTTTTTAGAGTTAAAGTGTACTTCAAACAATATATATATATATATATATATATATATATATATATATATATATATATATATATATATATATATATATATATGAAAATGACTGAACTGATGCAATACTCTTTACTTACTGCTTTTATTCATGCAAATCCACACATTAGATTTAGAATTTCCATCGATGTACACACTTTGAAATTAATTGTCATCAAAGCATTAAATCTAACAGCAAAACATTTACAATTAATATATGTTAGCAGCTAGTGCCAACTAAAACCAATGGCCTAGTAAAATTGCATGAGACAATCAACACATTACATTATATAAAATTAACTTCACAGGAATCAGAAGCAGCAAAAAAATATCTTGTCATACTCCTTAATCACAGTCAACTCTGCTGGCTTTGAAGTTAGAATTTGCTCGATTTTCTGAAACGAAGAAAAAAAAAAGTATTTAGAAAGATAACCAAAATTAATATTTTTTTAACAAAAAAAACTTAATCTAATAACTGTGTTTATACTATTTTTTTACTTTAAAATGCATTCATTTTGTAACGTTATTTTGTAATGTTTACGGTATAATATCTATGTATATGGAAGTTTAAAAAAAACTTACATTTTTTGGACACTGCCCATTAAAGGTTGAATAATTTGAGATCCAGAATCACTGCTGCTCAAACTGCTTGACAAAGACAATGTATCTGTCAGACTTGGGGAGGAGGGCACTTCAACAGCCCCTTGCTGCAGGACAGTCAAATCTGATGAAAAAACAACAACAACACGTGTCAGCAAATGGTTCTGAAATGCACACTTTCACTCTGAGTCATGAGACCAACTTTCAAAATCTATAAAAATGTTCTTAAATATCTACCATCATTAGTGTGGATGACATGTTTCTTTGGTTGTTGCAAGTTCTTGAAATACATCCTCATCCACCTCTATGCCATGGTCATCTGTGACTTTCGATGCTGTATCCTCTGGTATCACAAACTTGTGCTGGACTACAACATAACAACAATGTATAATTTATCAAATAAATTTTAAAATGACTGTTATTATTATTATTATTATTATTATATATTTTTAAAAATACTCTTTGTTACACTAAAACTCACCCGCACTGAAAAAAATCCAAGAAACAATCTTCTTCCAGTTTAATATATTTTTTCTTGCCTCCAAATTGCACTTTTATCAGCATCGTGGCCTGAAATAAAAAAGATAAATGTTATTTAACAACTTATGTTAGTGTGATTGAAAATGTAATATAAATATAGCTAAAAACAGCATACTCTCACGGTCACGACTAAATCATGATACAATCCAAAACATTTCATGAGCAATATTACACATATTAAATCTTACAGACATAAAGCTCTATTGCTGGATAAAAGATAATGACATTACCTCGTTGTGTAAGTTAGCCTATTTGAAATGTGAACAGCAGGTTTCTCCATCTGATCAAGTAGGCCTACCACTTCTTTTTGACAGCAGAACACACATTTTTAGAAACACAGGGGAAGAAAAGATTATTAGCTAGTGTTAGCTTGTTCACATCCACAACATTTTTTTAAAAACTGCACAAAACAGCCACATTGGAAAAGCTAACATGCTATGCTAAGTTAGCCACATGCAGTCACTAGCCTCACAGTACAAAATGAAACAGCTACACCAAAACACACTTCTGCTACAAAACATCCAACATTTAGAAAAAGCTTTTAGAATTGTATAACAATGCACTTTTACCTACCTCACAACGAAGAACATAACTCCAGTTCTCATGTGCTGCTCGGCAGAGTTGTGTAATGGCGGACTTTATCAAAAAATTTAACTCCAGTAAGGAGTTAAAGCACGTTTCTGAACACCAGAGAATGAACTCCAGAATACAACACAGCAAGGGGTATCCCATAACACAAAATTGTGTTAAAGTTTAAAAATAAACTCAAAAAAATTAACTCTTTCACACTTTTTTGCCTAACTCCTAATTTTTCAACTCCAGAAATTTGCTGTGTATAAACGATTAATAATATATAAAAAATGTTTACTGTTTTTGTCATTTTTGTAACATTACATAAAATATATTATTAATAACAAAAATAAAGAATTTGACTGGTTTTGTCATTTTTGCCATATTATATAAAATATATATTATTAATAATACAAATGGACATTTGGGCTGATTTTATCATTTTTAGTCATACTATATAAAATATATTATTAATAATAATAAAATAAACATTTGACTGTTTTTGTCATAATATGCAGTTGAAGTCAGAACTTTTTTCTTTCTTTTTAAAATATTTCTCAAATGATGTTTAACAGAGCATGGAAATTTTCACAGTGTGTCTGATAATGTTTTTTTCTCCTGGAGTAAGTTTTATTTGTTTTATTTCAGCTAGAATAAAAGCAGTTTTACATTTTTTAAAAACCATTTTAAGGTCAAAATTATTAGGCCCTTTTATATATTTTTTCAGATAGTCTATAGAACAAACCATGCTATACAATAACTTGCCTAATTACCCTAACCTGCCTAGTTAACCTAATTAAGCCTTTAAATGTCACTTTAAGCTGTATAGAAGTGTCTTCAAAAACAGTTAGTCAAATGTCATCATTCATTCATTCATTTTCTTTTCAGCTTAGTCCCTTTATTAATCTGGGGTCGCCACAGCGGAATAAACCGCCAACTTATCCAGCACATATTTTACACATCTCTGGGAAACATCCATACACAACTGCCAATTTAGCCTACCCAATTCACCGCATGTCTGTGGACTGTTTGGGAAACCAGAACACAGAGGAAACTCACACGAAGCAGGGAGAACATGCAAACTCCACACAGAAATACCAACTAACCTAGCCGAAGCTCGAACCAGCGACCTTCTTGCTGTGAGGAGACAGCACTACCTACTGCACCACTGTGTCACCCTTTACTGTCATCATGGCAAAGATAAAATAAATCAGTTATTAGAAATGAGTTATTAAAACTATTATGTTTAGAAATGTGCTGAAATAATCTTCTCATCGTTAAACAGAAATAAGGGAAAAAAATAAGCATGGGGGCTGATAATCAAGGGGCTTATAATTCTGACTTCAACTGCATATAAAAATATATAATTAATAATAATAAAAATAAGCATTTTGACTAGTTTTGTTATGTCTGGTCATATTTCACATAAGCTTCAAGCTGACATAGTTTTTTTTTTTAATTCTCACATTTAAAAACACTACATGGATTTAGTAAACACTGTGTTTTGATAAATACTTTAGTAAAATACTTGAATTAAAATATTTAGGTCATTGGTACACTGAAAAAAAATTCATTAGATTAATCCTTTGTACAGGAACTGCTTGCAAACTATTTATGTATATGCTGAAAAAGCAGCTTAAACAATAAGCTGGTTAGCTGGTTTTAGCTGGTCGACCAGCCTAATTTTAGAGGGTTTTTGGCCATTTCCAGCCTGGTCTTAGCTGGTCAGGCTGCTAAATGACCAGCTAAAACCAGCTTGGCCAGCATGATTTAAGATGGACATTGAGCTGGCTTTGCCTGGTCTCATGGCTGGCCAGGCTGGTTTTAGCATGGTCATCTCCCAGCCTGACCAGCTCAGACCAGACTGCAAAAGTCAAAAAAATAAAAAATCAAATAAATCCTAAAACCAGTCGGCCAGCTAAAACCAGCAATAGGAATAAACTTAGCTATATTTAACTTAATTTGTTAGTTTTAAATTCAGCCCATTTAGTAAACAAACATTTAGTAAATCTAAATAATATTTTTCCCCAGTGTAATTCTAAAGTTGTTGTTGAAAAATAACAACTATTGTAAGATGTAATTTATATTTTATGATTTAAAAAGCAAATAACCAATAAAGTAAACAATACCAAGTTGTAACATACAACAGAGTATATTATACTACAACACACCACATTTCTGTATCTAAAGCATACTAACGTATTTATTACAGTTTATGCTGTATTTATTACCAAAGATATTATACAGCCTACTGCTATATAGTTTTGTTTGGTTATTTACATGTGGGTTGAGCTTTGATTGACATGTTACTTTAAAAAAGAAAGACAGAAAAAAAGAGCACAGATTAAGTGCGTGCGTGCACATCTCATGCATTACAACAATGCAGCAGTCCAAATTACCGCAGGTGGATGGATTATAAATGAACTCGCCCATCCCTGAAACGGCACATACAGAAGACATGCTTCAATCAATGCAGGACAGTGGGTGAAATCATGCACTGCAGCAATAACTGGCAACTGTTACGGCTGATGTGAAACAGCTGGTGTCAGCAGCGGAGATGTCTGCGTGTCTCGTGTCAATGCTTGGAGAGCTCAGGGAGGCACCAGTTGCTCCGCCGCCGCTGTTTTAGTGGACCATCCACGTCTCCGTTACTGAGTGATGCGCACACTTTATAACACCTGAAACGATCACGGCGGAGGAATAAACGGTGCGAGTGTTTTAGTTTCTGGTCCGCGTTGCTCTCGGGTGCTGCTCACTATGGTGGAGCTGGAGAAGGAGGTGCTGCCGCTGCCACCGCGGTACCGATTCCGAGACCTGTTGCTCGGGGACTGGCAGACGGACGACAGGTAGAGCAACTTCAACTCCTCAGCTGTTGTTACATGCGTGCTTTAGCAATGCCACGCGCTTCCAGCTTAAAGAAAGTGCGCACTGCATTATATGAGTATTGGGAATATTAGTGCGTATTAGCATTAGTATGCGCGTGAGTGTTGAATTAATAGTAATGCGCTGTTAGAACGTGCATACTAAACATTGAGATTTAGAAAAAGAGAATGTGTGCATATTAGTAATTCTACGATAGTGTCATCATTAGGGAATTAGTGATATTAGTACCTAATTAACAGTTTGAGTATCATTGCATAATAGGCAGTGCACTAAATATACAGTTTCTGTATTTTTGTTGACCTGCCCTCCCTGTGGAATTAATTTACAGTCTCACTTCTTTGACTTCATCAGACATTTTGCATACAGCAAAGGCACTATTAGTATTATTTTCAATGTAAAAAATTACAATGAGTACTAGTGAGAAACAGTATTTCCAGTTTGCTTTAGAAATGGCTATAATGTAAGCACATTAGACCCCATTGGGGTATTAGTAGGCAACTAGATAGGCTGCTTCTATAGGTACTATTATTTAAACGTATTCAATAGTTTTAGTAAAACTATGATAAGTGTTTAAGTATCAGTTTAAATATTATGAGTATACTTAACAATATTATGTCTTAACCATATTGTCCACTAAGCAAAAGAAAGCTTCTGTTTATGTTGACCTGCCCTCGCTGTGTATTTATGCAGTCTAGTCTCACTTGTTTTTGACTTCAACAGCCATTTTACACACAGTTAAATCACTATTATGTTATAACATATTATTATTATTTAAAGGCTTAAAATATACATACACACAAACACACAAGCACACACACACGCACACACACACACACACACACACACACACACGCACACACACACACACACACACACACACACACACATATATATATATATATATATATATATATATATATATATATATATATGTATACACACAGTGTGTTTTCCAGTGTTAGAAGTGGCTACAATGTGAGCACATTAGTTCATATCACTACAGTGTACTACATTAGTGTTATTATAGCTTACTGGGGTATTGGTAGGCAACTTGATGGGCTGCATCTGGTTTTAGTAAAACCTATTTTATAGTATTAGTTTTAGTATTCTTATGATGATCATTTTGGTATCGGATTAAGTATTATGAGTATATTGAACAATATAACATAGTCTAGTTAGCTCTTAAGCAGTGTCCACCATATTGTCAATATTATCAGTTAATAGTAAAAGTGTAAACATTAATACGAGTAATTACAAATAATGCTGTAATATTATGACAGTCTACCTTCTGGTGGCCACAGATGCTATTTAGCTGGGCAGCGCACTAGGTTTTCAGACACAATCTGTACATTTATCTTGCAATGTATTCATACTTTAATTCTTATAAAAACAACTGCTAAATTACAGCCATTTAGCTAAATTCAATGTATTAGCATTATAATAGTAGGGATACTTGTAGGCATTTAATTAAATATATTAAGTACTAGAATTTGTCTTGGACATAGTGATATGTGTGTGTGTGTGTATGAACAACATATAGTATCCTTATTAGTGCAGGGCCATTTGTAACCAACTATTACTGGTTTTAAAAATACTCTATATGCTATTACTATGATCCCTCAAGGGGCACCTATGGTGCAAAATCTACTTTTAAAGCTGTTTGGACAGACATGTGTGTTGGGATAGTGTATAGATCGTCATATTGGGGTGATATAAACAAATCCAGTCTTTTTTTTTTTTTTTTTCAATTTAACAACATAAAAAGGTGGACCAATTGGATCGGTTCTGAGATCGACCGCAACTTGACACAGGAGTGCGGTCCCCCCGCCCACCAATATTGATTGACATGTGCGCTGTCACGTTTTAATGCAAGAAAACAGGTCCATTTGCAGCAATGAACAATACAAAGGGGTTTATTGACAGAATAAGGCGCAAGTAGACACAAAGGCGGATAAGGCAACAACACAAGGAAGCCAGTGGTAGTGACAAGATAGTACTAAAATGAACAGCCAGCCAGGAGTAGGAGCAATAGTGGTCAAAACCAGATCTAGATCCTGGAGCAAGCCACGTAAACTCCAGACTGTCAGACCAGGGAGGTCAGGACACAGAATATGACTGTAATATTAATAATTTACAATAAGAAACTAAAACTGAAATAAAATAAAATCTAAATACTAGAAGACAGAAAGACTTTAGCAATCTGATAAAACAAAACTGAAATAAAGACTTCTAGAATCCTAAAGAGAGTAATTAAACACAGCAAACAACTACTAATAATTATCTACTAAGAAGAATGGGACTGACAGAAAAACGGAAAAGTGGCTCTAAGGGTAAAAGTAAAGTAAAGATTAGAACACAAAATTAAGTAAACACTAGAAACAACGAAAGAAAGTAATAGCTAGAAACAAACAATAAATAGACAAGCGAACTAGAACAGGCAAGACCAAAAGCTTAGTACAGATGCAAGGCAAGGATACAAGACAAGCTCACATGGAACGAATCAGCAAAGAAATGAGAACACAGCACATTATATAAAACAAAGCACACGAGAGACAGGTGAACACAATCAGGATAACAAGGTCTAAATAAGAGGGCGGGGTAACTGAAAGCAAGGAGGAAAGACAAGAGCAGCACATGGTCAACACAAATTAAGATTTTGCAATGTAAATAAGCACAGGACAAACAAGCAAACATTAAACACTGACAGGACAGACAAGACTGTCAGGTCTGGACCATGACATGCGCATTACCATATCCTCAGTTTGTTGTTACATGTTTGCCTTTTTTAGGGTGTGAGTCAAAGCGATGTCACCAAAGAAAAACCCTTGCTTTATTTTTAGATGCAAGGCTCATTAGGCTCAACACAAGATCAACATTCATCACATGATCGCTTTCATCTGCGCTATTGTTTGTAACTTTTGGTGAGTTTGCAAACGTGTACTTTTCATTGCGTCTTCCTTGAACTTCAGCCATTTGTATTTTCTGCGATCACAGAAGCTCCCTGTCATCTTAACTAGATGCAGCTGGAAAATGTGAGTGCGTTGCCTTATGCAGGTTGCACACAAGAAGCGCCGCTCGGAGACGCACAGCGTCACGCCATGCAGCACCATGCATTTTAGAATTCCAAACATAGGTTTCTATTAGGGTACACAGAATGGTGCCCTAATAGGTGCTAACAGGGTAAAATAGATGCTCTTTAACTGCTTCTAGTTCTGATTTTAATGTTAGGATGAACTTCGTTATTAGCAGTGGTGTATGAACGTACAAGGTACAAATACTCAAATTACTGTAATTGACTATTGTCTTCTTAGGAATTGTACTGTATGAAGTAGATTTAGAAGTGTCTACTTTCACTTGAGTACATTTTTTTATGCTGTACTTTTCTTTTATCCACTGTTTTCTTTCAACCTGCACTCTCAGAAAAAATGGTACAATGTACAATGGGGTTTTGTGCTCGTGCATGTTGCGCTCAGTTTCACGTTCATTCGGATGTACAAAAGAATATGCGTGAGATTCGGCGTAGGCAGTGTTTCATACATCTGAATTTTTTTCTGTGTACGCACATTTACAGCTTTGTGCGTACGCAATGTTTTAGTATGATTTCCACGCAAGTCGTCGTACATGAAGCCCCAGGGCTCTGCTGTGGGTTGGTGGGCGGGACTCTCGCTCGGTCCCTTAATGTCCACCAGGACTCCCACATTTAGCATTGTTACCGGCTCACACGCCTGGTCAGATGGCTGGTTGAGCTCCTCCTGCTCGGTGGTGTTCCGCTCTGTCAATGATGTCGATGTCAATGGCTCACACACTGGGGGTGGCTCTCCATCTGCGGTGGGTTCTTGCGCACACTCCATGAAGATGGGAGTTGGGCTGGTTACTGGGTCAGGTGTGGCACTGACGTCGAACGATGATCGGTTCCTCACCAGAATACCGGATGACGAATGACTAAACACAGGGACTATAAATACTATGGGGATGATGAGACTGATTATACACAGGGGATGAACACAGGTGACACGGATGAACATAATGACTTGGTGGAAATGGAAACAAAGGAACGCATGGTGAAGGTCACATGTTGAAAACAATCATAATTGGAAGACAGGATGTGACAATACCAAAGAAGTTACAAACCCTTTTCACTGGGGCAGTACCTTTTTTGGTACAGATTTCTACCTTAAAGGGCACCTACGATACCCCTTTTTCCAGATTTAATATAAGTTTTTTTGTGTCTCCAGAATGTGTCTGTAAAGTTTCAACTCAAAACACCAATCAGATTTTTCATTATAACTTTTATAAGATTCTATTTTATAGCTTTAATCAGCAGGTAGTGGTTTCTGTGTACTGTGCCTTTAAGGCTAGTCCTTCACGCCCACCGTTTCCACGTGCCTGTCAGTGTGCCGCGCTCAGCTGCACCAGACAACAGACAAACAATCAGACATGATGAAAGAAGATCTCACGTAACGCTTGTGAGAAATACTACAGTAAGAACTTTACCAATGATAATGTAATGCATTTGTTGTGGAGCTGCAATGATGAGTCACACACAATGTTGTTGCAAAGTTCACGCACACACACAGATACACACACACACAGCGTGGACACGCACACACACAGGCGTTTAGCTTTGCACTCTTTTTGCACGCAAATGTGACAGGACACATGTTACTATCCACTGCTGTATGGACATCTGTTTTGTTAATGTGCAAAATAAACCTGATTTATCGTCCACAAACCGGGATTGAATCGTCTTGCTTTATAATTGTTCTGACATGCGGCTGTGTTGATGAAGTAAAGCTGAAGTAAATTGCTGTAATTCATTACACACATGCACTGTTTTGAAAGATTTTAAACATGTAAAACTCATTCTTGATCACATTTGATGATGATTGATGATCCTAGCAAACTGAACAGACCTTTTATACCTGGTTGCTTTGCGCACGTCCTGACTTCGGAGACATGTTAA